CAGCCATGAAGGAGAAGACTTGAATTTATACAATAATGATAGTCTTCATCTCTCTGTCTCTGTCAGGAAAGTGAATGTGTGAACAAACAGCGATGAGGAAGCTGTATGGAAGACGGGGATTTGGGGGCATATCTTGAATCTGCCTGAAATTTCCAAGGTGTATTTTTAAAAGTCTACTATTCTGCAGTGTGTAGGTACCCTAAGAAAACAAGGTATAACCATCGGTAGGCTCCACGGGAAGCTGCTGTGCGTCCTCTGGCACGACCCGAAGAGTGACAGCCAAGAAGTTGTCCTACGAAGAATGAAAGTTCGTATGACACCCGATGCATGGTAAACCGTCTTTACATTGGATTGTTTGACATTATTTGCATGGTTTGAAATGAGTTCTTGTTTTTTCTTTTTAAGAATTATACGTGGATGAGCGGATTCATGTTCATGACCTAGGTCATTGCGTTAATTATGCCTTTTCTTTTTAGTATAGATCGACAATATGTATCAGTAGCGATTTTAACGTTTATTTTTTTTGGAATGTCGAGGTTTATTTTGATCTCGTAAATATTTTACTTTAATCTCTCACTTTTACCTTGTTGTTGTATTATTCTTCCTATAAAATTTAGAAAATTACATCATATACATGTAAGGAGCGACCCCGTCATGTGGGTTCGTATCGTGTAGGGCATGACTCTAGTAAATTGCATCACATACATGTAAGGAGTGACATCGTATATGAACTTATATCATGTAGGCACCATCTTAATGGTATGGTACATACAAAGAGTGACACCATATGTGTACTCATATCGTGTAGGGCATGACCTAGTAGATTACACTATATGCATGCAAGGAGTGAGCTCACATCAGTACAAGGCATGACCCTATTAGATCTCGTAAATGTAGGTGACCCCATATGTATGCTCATATCATGAAGGACACGATCCTAATAGATATAAGCTCATAGACGAGCGTGTCATGGACATACTCGAACAAGGCTAAAAAGGGCTCCAAACCATAACCTCAAAAGTTAAGGTTCCAACATGAGTCTTGACACGTCACTCTGGAGTTAAGTCCGTCTATATGAAATATGAAAACTCACGAAATTTGGTATCAATTGAATACTTTATGATCGTCATGATCAATTAATTTTGTAGTTTGTAGGGCTTATTTAAATCATTATCACAATTTTCTGGTCACAGCTGGCCTTGTGGGCCAAGAAAAGATAGAATCAGGCTTGTTTTCCACCATAAATCAAAATTTTATTAAAAATAACAAAAATCACGTTTTAATTTAAAAATACTTAATAATTTAAAGGGAAATACTTTTTATTTGACTTAAAAGAAATAAATAAGCATAGATTTTTTTTTTCCCCAAAAATAATAAATACCATTAAGAATATATCATTTTCCCAAAAAAGTAATTTCATTTTTTTTTATTTTTTATTTATAGATTCTTGATTTTTTAGAATATTAAATAAATTAAAGAACTAAAAATTTTAAAATTTAGTCAACGAAAGTGTGTTAATTTTTTTTTTTTTTTTGTCCTAAGTAAAATATTTTATTGGAATACTTTGAAATATATTTTCTTCAAATATTTTCATTAAAACAAAATTTACATTTATAAAAACATTTTTTAAGAAAGCATTTTAAATAAATGTATTTTCAAAGTGATTCTATTAATTATAAATACATTTTAAATTTGAAATCTTGATTTGACACCTGATGATCCCGACATTTCAATGACGACATGGTCGGTTACCTACCCTTAACACTCATGGCTCCAAAAAGTGAAAATTATCCTCACAGATCAACACAAGTAAATCGCTCTAAGTAAAGCGCATTTAACCATGGAGTTCTCACGATTGAGCTACTGAAAAGGAAGATGCACTTTATTAGTACAAGTACTAACTTTCATTTCTTTTAAATCTTTCTTAGTCATCATATCCTCAAGATCGCTCTTATTCAAATGTGATATTTGTTCAAAGTGTCAGAGTTTAACTCGAACGAAAAAAAAAAAAAAAAGATTGGTTCGCAAAATAAAAACGCTCTTCGGAACAAGCTCTATTAACCTATATAGAAGGAAGTACGTAAGTTATTTTCAGCCACAGCTGGCCTTGTGAGTCAAGGGAAGACCAACCTAAAGCATACTCAAGGAACTTAGCTGTGAACAATTTAAAGCTCATTATATTCCATACTTTCAACCCTTTTTAATGCCCACTTTATGTCTCTTCAGTAATTTTCATGCCAAGATTTGGTTTGATTTTTCTACCTTCAACACGTCATAGTCTACGTCCTAATTCTCAAATTCTGTTCAATAATTATTTGACTCGGAGCTGCTGTATTGTTTTAAAATACGAGAATAAAATAAACTGTAAATCAAATCATAAATAAAGAATATTAAGATATAATATCTAAGATATATTCTATAAATAATATATACTCTAGATATTATATCTCAATAGTAACTGAGTTTCTCATTAGCTTAGCAGATCTTTAACTATGGTTTTGAATCGGAGCAAATTTTGAAGCTACTTCATCGGTAAATTCTATCTAATTTTTGGTCACTTTTTGATGTCGTTTCAATGGTGGATTCGTCATGATTGATTCTCGGTATTCGATTCTTAGTTATATTTTAAGGAATTATGAGCCCTAATGACGTAAAATGAGAAGAGGAAAGACGTGAGAACACCAAGAGACCGTTGGATGACGTTTTTTCTTGATTTGTGAGTGTCACCTCTGGTAAGGACTATGCTAATCTTCTCTGTATTGTTCAAATTTGAAAATTTTTCTTATTTATTATTATTTTTTTTTTACATAAAAAAAAAAAAAACTCAAATTAGGAAATGAAGATGTAATTTTTATAAGTGGAGCGGGGCGATGTCGGAGTCGAGAAATTATCTATCTAACTTTCTCTCTCATTCCCAGTTACTTAATACACCTCGTGAATGTGTTTCTATGGTGTAAACGTTAGGATGATTTTGCGACACATTTTATGAATGTGTTTTTGTATAGTAAATGTTATGGTTATTTCTCAATACACCTCCGGAATGTATTTATGAGGGTAAATTGTTAGGATCGCACAAAAAGACACGCACTCGATTTGGATGAACATAAAGAATAAGAGATAAAAAATGCAAGGAGAAATATTGGCTAAAGGTTTATATTCATGATGATTCAGGTACGTAAATGAGAACATGGTCCATAATCTAATGGTTCTCCTATGGGTAGACTCATCCCGTCAAAGAAGAATTTCATTATCCGACCATCGATGTCTTCCTTATACCAGACCAATTAATGCTTTCCAATACCTCAATTTTCAAACATCAACCTATTTTGTAACATGTCTGGATTCTTTGTATCCTTATCTTCTCCAAACACATATCACCTTCTTCCACTGACCTGCAAGTAAAACGGTATCGTATTCTGATGTGTTTTGTCTTTAAATGATAAATTGGGTTCCTGTGAGATCCCACATTGGTTGAGGAGGAGAACGAAACATTTTTTATAAGCACGTGGAAACTTTTCCCTAGTAGACGTGTTTTAAAACTTTGAGGGAAAGCCCAAAGAGGACGATATCTGTTAGCGGTGGACTTGGGCTGTTACATATCAGAGCCATACATAAGGCAATGTGCTAACGAGGAGGTTAAGTCCTGAAGGGGTGTGGACATGAGACGATGTGCCAGCAAAGACTCTGGGTCTTGAAGGGAGGTGAATTGGGGAAGGGAACAAGTGTCAACGAGGACGCTGACCTTTATAAGGGTGTGAAAACTTCTCGACCCTGAGCCCTGAAGGGAGAGTGGATTGTGAGATTCTACGTCAATTGAAGATAGGAACAAGTGCCAGCGAGAATGCTGGGCTCCGAGAGGGGCTAGATCGTGAGATTCCACATTGATTGAAAAAGAGAACAAAGTATTTTTTTTTATAAGAATGTGGAAATCTCTACCTAACGGGAACTTTTGCATTTCTTTTTCCAACATAAATTTTTGTTATGAAGTCTGATGATTAATTATTTAATTCTTAATAATATATTTTTTTATTATTTTATTTATTTATAAAAATCTAAAATTATTAATGTAATTTTAAATGGTACATGATTGAAAAAAAAATGGTAGTATATTCGTAAAACACTATTTATTTATTTTTAAATATTTAATTACTATTTGTAAATCAATTTTAATATCTATTTTAAAAATTTAACTTTTTGCGAGTTAAAAGTTATAAAATTAAATTTAATATATATACATAACTATATCGTAAATAAAAATGTATATTTTAAAATTAATAATAAATTCGAGTGGATTCGGTTTAATTCAATTTAGTGGAAGAGAAATTAATGAATTAATTTAATTCATAAAATTTCTATTTATTTAAATTCAACTCAACGCAAATAAGTTCATAAAACAACTGAAAAACTATAAAGTTCGATCATTTTTTAATTTTTTTAAAAATTTTGTCCGTTCATTTTCATAATTTCTTTCAAACATTTGAATTTTTTTCAAAACAAAAACAAGATTCTAAAAATAGTTTAAAATATATATATATATATATATTATTATTATTATTATTATTTTTGTAAAATATTGATAAAAAATGGGTAACAAAACAAAAATAATTATAGTTGGGAGTAGTATTTTAAAATTTAATTAAAAAATGAAAAAAAAAAAAACAAAACGAGCATTAATTTTTATTTTTAAAATTGTTTTTTTTTTCTATAATTTCTTTTATTATAGTTTCCATTTTTTTTTAATAGATAAATACTTAATTTTTAGCCCAAAAAAAATATCCAAAAATAAATTGCTACTTTTAAAATAAAATAAAAATAAAAGCGCTCCAAAACCGCCACCAAGTAACCATGCACGCTAGAATCTTCACCGTTAGATCCTCTCAAACTCCTACATCAACCATCCAACCGTCCAATATCGAAGAAGACCCACTACTCATGTCGCACGGGATTATAGCCCAGTTACCCAAAACATTGTCCAGCCTTTGCATGTAAGACGAATCTATCCACAGCTCTCGTGTGCGAGTGTGATCGTCTTCAATCGGCGCCGGAGAAGAATGTTGCAGTTCTCGATTCGGCGAGGTAAAGTTCTTTGATCGTAAAGGAATTTTTTTCTGATTGTTGAATTTGTTAATGGAAGTTACTTCTTGATTACGTTCGTGATCATGTGTTGCAGTGAAGAAATTGAGTGTTCTGAGGCCTCAGATCTTTGCTCTTGGAAATTCTCGTTTCTCCACCTCTACTGAACCGTCTTCCTAGCCTAATCCTCCGGTGAGGAAGCGGTTGTTTCCTTAATTTTGTTTTTCTTTTCTTTTGAGTAGAGCTTGTTGATTTCTTGAGCTTGTGGTTTGAATGAGGAACTTTGTTTGCATTGTTTTGTTTCTGAGAAAACGTCAGGACAGGGCGTGGAAAGTATGAACTATGCTATTCTTTCTACGGTCCCAACTTTGCTTCGTTTTTGTGTTTGTAATTGTTTCTTGTAGAGACTGGCCTTCACTGCGTTAATTTCTGATTTGATTCTTAACTTCTTTAAGTTTAGGAATTACTCTGTAGGTTGAAAGAAAGGGGAAATTTTCCTGTAAATTATTTTAGCTTAATCACCAATGTAGTTTGTCTTTCAATTCATGACCATGATATCATATATAATGTCAGCGCATACTTGTTTCATCTAGCGTTGTTACGAAAGGCTGATATATACTTCATTTACGCAAGCCTTCTCAATCCTCAGCATTCATAGATGTCATAAACCTAGTGAGTTACCAGCTCATTTTACGCACTCTTTTCTATTTCAGATTTGAGAAAGTTAAGTTCCTTTAGGTACGGGTACGAAAATGTGCTTTTGTTTACAGGCAAGGAAGTTGTTTCTCAAGTTCCATTGACCACAAATGAGGAATTTAAAGCTGCAGTATCTGCAGCAACGCAGGCATTTCCTGCTTGGCGTAATACTCCAGTTACAACTTGCCAACGAATTATGCTCAAGCTTCAAGAACTCGTTAGGCGAGATATCGTAAGTTCGTTTTTCAGTAAAAGGAATATTCCAAATCACTTCAAAAGTGGATCCCCCCCTCTCATTTCAGGACACACTTTCTCTAAATATTACAACAGAACAAGGAAAGACATTAAAGGATGCACATGGAGATGTATTCCGTGGGCTAGGTTATAATCCTTTAGTTCCTTCCTCTTCCTGTATATGTTTGTGATTATGTGATGGGAAAAATCGTTTTATTATATGGCCTGAGCTGAATGTTCGATAGAGGTTGTGGAACATGCATGTTGAATGGCATCGCTACAAAGGGGGTAGTATGTCTCTAATGTGTCACATGGAATTGATACCTGCAGCATCATAGAGCCTCTTGGTGTTTGTGCTGGGATTTGTCCAGTCAATTTTCCTGCCATGATCTCCCTATGGGTTAGCCTGTTATTCTTCACTGTCATTCCAATGGTTATAATTTCAGCAGTAAAGAATTAGTTTGATTTCTCAAAGGCTGGAGTACGCCGTTATCTACTTCTTTTGTGGTGTAAAAGACTTGCTGCTATGAAAGATTTTTATCCCCCAAAAATTAATTTATTAACTTCATTCCATACCGATATTATCCCTCCAATTAGCTTTTCTTTTTCTTATGATAATAGACTGACAGTGGCAATAGTTGTGCAATGGGATAATCCTCTGCAGATATTCTCAATTGCTGTTACATGTGGGAATACCTTTATTTTGAAGCCTTCAGAAAAAGATCGAGGTGATTTTTATTTTTGAATTATTCCCCAAGCATCTTTATTATGAACTGTCTTCTTTTTGTTTTTGCAAGCTTATACCTATGATTAGATTCTGGAACCATAACCACTAGATTCAACTGCTATCTTAAATGACTTGATTTGACTGCAGCATCAACAAATTGTTATTTTAATTTTGGTGTTTTTTCTGCAGGATGTTGTTAATGCCATTTGTGATGATGAGGATATAAAGGCAAAATATCATTCGTCGGTTCAAACATTGTAAGCTATCTTTACTGAAATAACTTTTACTTCATGGAGTTGGCAATCTCAATACATTCTAGGTTAATTTCTACAAGTGGTTCTTGTTGCAACTTACTAAAATTCTATTATAGGATAGGGCCCTTTCCACTTTTTGTTTTTAGAATCTAGAACTGATAGTTTAGATATTTGTTCATGTGGCCATTGGAGTGTTACAAGTTATTTAATTGGTGAAACATCGTCTTACATTGGGACCTTGGCGTTCTTTACTTGGTCTACCATTAGTACAAAGTGATTTAAGTTTAGCTTTGAGGTTTTATTATTGCAGATGATTGGTTTCAATATTAAGTTTATTTTCCACACTCATATATTTGGCCTCAAGTTTATCCTATAATTGTTTTGCCATGGTCACCTTTATAAATGGATACTTATGATCCTTGCCAAGATAGGACTGAATAATTCGGCAAGTTTGTTGATTTACTTTCCTTCATTCTGCGTCTGTCATGTCTTCGGCCATCGCCTCTTCGAGATAAACATCAAGGTCTTGCCTGACCAACAAATCACTAACTTCGCCTTGCCAAACACCAAAATTATTGGTTACATCAATTTTTTCTACTTTGAGATTAGAGCTCAAAATTCTTGATGCACGCGAGTATCAGATGACTTTGCCATTTGTAACAAGTTTCTCTACCAAAAGAATAATCCGAATGAAAGTAGAAAAAAATTCTTGAAAAAATGATTTCCAAGAAAATAAGCACACTTGCAATGAGAAACTTGTCTTTGATAATCGATGGTGAGTGTGAGCTATTCTCGTGGTCGATGAAGTTGAATTTTTCAGAATACCCCAAATGCCACAACTAAAATGCTCTGATACCAATTGTTGTAATGGAAGCGAAAACAAGATCAATCGCACTCACACACCCACAAACAGAAATTAAACAAAGAGCACAAAGATTTATGTGGTTTGGAGAAAAGAAATTCTCCTACATCCACGAGTAGTAACCAATCTCAATAATCTAAGTGTTTACGAAGTGTATATCTCACACTATCAAGTCTCCCACCAAAATTCTCCCAAATGTCACTCAACAAACACAAAATGATATTCAAACTCAATCAAACTTAATACATCTCAACCATTCTAGATAACCCTTTATATAAACATAGAAGCATTAGTGTCATACATGAATCACGATGATTCATGTATCAAAATGGAAGATGAACCAAAAAAATGCCGCATAAGAGATGCATTAACCTATTCTTCATGACAACTTACATTCATGACAACTTACAACAAAACTACTCATTTTTTTTAATAGAGAATTGGAATAACAAATCAAGTATTTAACCAAAACTAATAAGCTAACTCCATACATTCTATAGTATTGTGTGTTCATTGGTGGTGAACGTGTTGAAGAAGATGTATAGAAGATGCAGCCTAGTGGGAAGAACTGCTAAAGACATTACTAAAGTTGGAGCTATTAATAGTATGAGAAGCAACACTATTTTGAGTAGCTGATGGCGATGGTGAAGACGAAGCATTTGGCCTTCTAATGGGAAGAAATTCATAAGTGGGTACAGGCAATTGAGATGGAAGAAGAGGCAATGGCGCTTCGAAGTTCATCACGTTTATGGCTTGTCTTATTGAAGGTCTGCAATTGCTATCTGGATGAGCACACCACAGACCCACCACCATCAGACGCTCCATCTGCTCCTCCTTCTGCTGCTCATCTCCAAACCTTTCTTGGATCAGTTTTGAGTCTATTCCTTCAAGAAGCTTTCCACAACCATAAAGCTTCCAAACCCACTCCACCATCACAATCTTCTCGTCCTCTGCGTTCGGGTCGAAAGGTTTTCTTCCACAAGCAATTTCCAAAGCAACCATCCCGAAGCTGTAGACATCTGATTCCTTTGAAGCCCTTCCTGTTGTTACACATTCAGGAGCCAAATAGCCAATTGTCCCAGCAAGAAGAGTTGTTTGTGAACCTTTGTTATGGTCCACTAACCTAGCTAACCCGAAATCTCCGAGCTTAGCATTAAAACTCGAATCCAACATTACATTGCTCGACTTAATATCTCTATGCACCACACATTTTTCCCACTCTTCGTGAAGATATAGTAAACCCGAAGCAATTCCTTGAGCGATTTTGTACCGACATTCCCATGTCAAGAAATTGTTTTCTTTGAAAAGATGGGCGTCTAAGCTTCCATTTGGCATGAATTCATAAACCAACAGAAGTTTACCTTTCTCATGACACCAACCAATAAGTTGAACTAAGTTTCTATGCCTCAACTGGCTGATGATCTTGACCTCAGATGCATACTCCTTTATCCCTTGCTTAGACCCTTTTGATATTCTCTTCACAGCAACATAGCAATTCAAGTCACTTTTTAAGAAACCTTTATAAACATCACCAAATCCTCCTTTTCCAAGCTTCTTATCCTCCTTAAAATTGTTCGTTGCTTGAGCCAATTCCTTATACGAAAACCGTCGAGGCCCTTTACCCCTTTCAAACTCAGAATCATCCAACATTATCTCCTCCTCTATGTTCTTCCTCGTTGCCATTCTCTTCTTCCAAACAACTATCCAAACCAACACTAACCCTCCCACTATGATAGTTGCTCCAACAACGCCCAATCCGACTGCTAGACCTGCCTTGCTACCATTACTATGACTTGTGTGCAAGTTAGGCCTTGGCTCAGGAATAGACTCTGGAATTGGCTCGGGACTTGGCTCAGGAATAGACTCTGGAATTGGCTCGGGACTTGGCTCAGGACGTGGAGACAAATTAGAACTAGAGGTGAAGTTTGGATTAAGAGTCAAGTCGAGGGTTGACTCAAAAGACCACGAATATACAGTGTGAGTTGCATATGCATAACCAGTGGAAGCAGAAAAGCCAAAAGTAACCCGTTCAGGTAGATGCAACCTCAAATCTACAACATGGTGAAGATGTTGGAACAGAATACTACCATTCAGATCAAACCCAGTAAAAGTAACACTCAAATTATGATTAACAGAATCATATTTAATCCAAGCATGATTCTTCTTCCCTCCCTTGATATCACATTTCCATATCGAATATGCAATAGATCTCATTGAACTAATATCGATACCTACATGTTCGAGCTTTTCAGGTGGGTCGAAAAGGTTGCTGTAGATATCAAACTCAACTGCAAAAAATGTGGCTGTCGCATTCGATAACTCGGGATCGTAGCCAATACCCAAGCCACTGCCTCTTGGGATGTCAGCTTGGAACTTAGAACCAACAGGGGCAAAGAAGAAGGTAAGGCCATCACCATAGGTTGATTTTTGCCTTGAGTCAATGACAAAGGAGAAATTGGTTTGGAAACTCGCCAAGTTTCTAGAGACTTTATCCCAAAGATGCAAGGGTTCGGAATACATGGCTCTTCCAACATAATTCATGTTGGCGTCGCCCCCAGTGAGCTCGATTGCTTGGTTTGTCGGGAATGCTCTTTCGTAGCTGATGTCGGTGTTGCTTGGGTTGAAAGAAGTGAAGTTGAAAGATAAAGAACTTGCAAATGGAAGTGTAGAGAGGAACAGTGAAATGTTGATAAGGAAGAACGAACATATGAGAGGAAACTTGGAATTGGAGCTTTGTGCAGCCATGGGAGAAGGCAGGAGACAATGCTTAGAGCTTCAAGTTGAAGATCAATGGGGAAGAAGACTTGTTAAGTAAAAGTAAGTCTTTGCTGTGGCATTTTCCATTTGGAATAATCGCTGACAGGACTTTCAAAACAGTGGAAGAGAAAAAAAGAAAAAAAAAATGGAAGAAATTTCTTCGCTCAAGCAAAGACTTGAACACCAAATTTAATTTAATAATTAAATACAAATTTTCTTGCCGCACTATTAAAGATGTAATAGCCTAGACTCACTGCTAGCCGATATTGTTCTCTTTTAGGCTTTCCCTTCCAAGCTTCCTCTTAAGGTTTTTAAAATGTGTCGGATAGAGAAAGGTTTCTACATCATTATAAAGGGTGCTTCGTTCCAATGTGAGATTCTTATAATCCACTCCCTTCGTGGCAAGCGTCCAGCACCAACCGATGTGAGACCTCATTTAGTGTGAGAATCCCACATTAGTTGGTGGGGAGGAGAACGAACCACCCTTAAGGATGTGGAAACCTTTTTGTAGAAGACACATTTTAAAAACGTTGAAGGAAAGACCGAAAGGGAAAGCTCAAAAAGGACAATATCTGCTAATGGTGGACTTGGACCGTTGCAAATGGTATTAGAGCCAAACACTAGATGATGTGTCAGCGAGGAGGCTGTTCCCCAAGGGGGTAGACACGAGGTAGTGTGCCAGTAAGGACGTTGGGCCCCTAAGGGGATGGATTTGGTGGGGGTCCCATATCGACTGGAGAAATGAACGAGTACCAGCGAGGACGCACCTCGAAGGGGGTGGATTATGAGAATCCTACATTGGTTGGGGAGGAGACGGAACACCCCTTATAAGGATGTGGAAACCTTTCCTCAGCATGCGTTTCAAAAACCTTGAGGAGAAGTTTGAAAGGGAAAACTCAAAAAGGACAATATCTGCTAGCGGTGGACTTAGATCGTTACATGTTCATTGAGACGGGGACGGGAATAAGGACAGGGAAGGTCCCATTCTCATTACCTATTACAATCCCCTTTTTCATGAAATTATTCATTTGTTTTCATGGAGGCAAGAATTTTCAGTAGGATTTTTTTTTCTTCGGTTTTTTAAATTTTTTTTTTTTTTGCACTTTTTTCTCTTATTATGGCTCTTTCTGTTTGATTTGGAGTGGTTGGAGGCTATCTTGGAGAAGTGTGGGCAAGTACTTAGGTGAATTCTAAGAGTTTTGCTCTTTGTTTTAGTAAAAGTCTAAATTAGTCGGGTTTGTCTTTGTCTAGGTGTCTTAACTAGTTGGCAAATCAAGCATCTATCGACAAATTCCACGATATCCTTCTTTATACCACGCCACTCGAAGTGTGGCTTGATATCTTAATACATTTTAGTACCACCAGGGTGCATGGCGAATGGAGAGTTATGCGCCTCCTTTAATATTTCATTTCTCAACTCTTGTACCACTGGTACACAAACTGGCGAATGGAGAGTTATGCGCCTCCTTTAATATTTCATTTCTCAACTCTTGTACCACTGGTACACAAACGATCTTGATATAACAATCCACCATCATGACTTGGACTATCCGTTAGCTGGTTCTATCTCCATCTCATTAAGTACCCTTTCCAACTTAGGGTCTCTTACTTGAACATCAACTATTCTCTAACGGAGAGTGGATTGTACAGTCAGTCGAACTAAGTGTGCTTTAATACCTTCTATTGCCCCCGCTATTTCAGCTTGTTCAAAATCTATATATATAAAAATAGAAATTTGATAAAAGTGCTTTTGAAAGCTTCTTTAATATATATAAATATATTAAGTTTAGAAATTAGATTTAAATACAGTTTTGTATTTTTATTTGTTTGGTGGACCAACCACTTTCATAAATATTTTAGTTAATTCTCTTTAATTCTTTAAATAAATTGTTGATTTGCCCAATTTATTATTTCTTTTTAAGAAACAATTTATTATTCTCTCTTAAACATTGATGGAGATAATATTAGTAATAAGGGATAAGAATTTGTCATAATTTTTTTTTTTAATTTTATAAAACAAATTAATTGGACCTTAAATGTTTCAATCTTTTACTCTTTATTTATTTTTTATTAATTTATTTTCTAATTTTAACAAACAAAAAAATTATACAAACTTTTAAAAATTATTAATAGACGCGAAAATCACAACTCATATCCTAAGTTTAACGTGTAACTTAATGAAATTGAAAGTTTAAGGTTGAAATTGATATAATTTGTCATGTTCGAAGTTAAAATTGTTATTTATTAATTTATTTGTTCGGTGAAGATTATGTTTCAATCCAAGTTTCCCATACATGCCCAAAACGACGTGTTGCTTTATAAGAGGTATTTGTACGTTTTTTTTATAAAAAAAAACCACAAAATTAACTAAAATCATTCTGGATCGAGTAACTACTATCATGAAAACTACAAACCTAATTCTCGAAAGTATAACTACATGGAAACAAACAAACTCTTGTGTTCTTGTTGAAAACTGTGGTGACCATGGTCGTTCGGTCAATTTTTATGGTGAAGAGTTCGAGTTCGAGTTCAACTAAAATGCAAGCGAGAACAGGGAAAAGGTAGTGATGGACAAAACGATGTATAGTGAACTAGTTGTGGCTAACATTGTTGACCCCACGGACGAATGCCAGTGAA